CCCCAAAACCCCAAAACCCCAAAACCCCAAAACCCCTCATGCTTATAAGACAGCTGAAAAATAGCTTATAATCTTTATAAAAACTCGAGCTATGGGATGAAACAATTCAGCATCAATCAAGAAGGACACTTCGGACCCACGAAGAGAGATCAGGTGCAAGGAGATCCTAGAAAACATTCATGACAACGATCACATTGTCCAAGAGAACAATCGAATGATCTGCATGATTAACAGGCAACTAAAGGGCTGAAGGTCTTCTGAAACCCTCCATCGATTGAAAAAGTTAAAACACAACTTAATCAAGGAAAATGAGGAAGCTACAGTACACAGTGACGTGCTCAGGCAATACTCAGTGATTGCTTCAGAACAGAGCGCATCAACAAAGAATGTTCTATCTAATTAACCTATTTTATTGCTAAATTATTAATTCCTAAAACTGTCGACACTCTAAAGCATTGTCAACCTCCTTCATTCCAAGATTGTTATTTTCCCAGTTGCGAATTTTATGGTGAGAATAGTAAAGTCACCATCCCAACTTTTAACATGAAGAGATTCAGGAATCCCTGAAGCTGACTTGTACTATCTCTACAATCTTTAATAATTCTTCTTACATGGCAAGTTGGTAGAATATGAATTATTAAGAACTAGTGAAAGCCCTCTCGGACTGGTACTGCTTCTTAAAAATTTGAGAGAACGCGAATGTAGGTTTAGTGGTTTTTAAAACGATTCCAAATAATTCATGTCAGAAAGAATTCCTGATATAACCCACTCAGCTTCAGGAAGAATTTCTGTTTTAGGATTGGTGATGTAACCCGTTAATAAACGTAATATCTGAGACTTTTTACTATTAATATGTCAGTAATTACAGAAAGGAGGTAGGCCAAGTCCTCACTTGAATCTTTCACTCCAAAACAAGCTAAAAGAATGAGAAGCTCATAAGATCGTTTTTTACACTGATCTTATTAACCTAATCTTCTTCACCGAGATTATGAGTCTATGTAAAGTAGGATAACCTCTTTGTCTTTCTTTCTGAAACCGATTTTTATGATAACAAAACACATGTGGCTTGCTATTCCCGCAAGGAAGAGATCCCAAATTTCAAACAAGGCAAATTGAGTCATTCGTGATAATTTACATTTAAAGTTTGGGTGAATAGGTCTGGATACCAATAATAAATTAAAAATAATTTCTTTGTTTCCTATCACCCCTAATGTAGAAAAAGAAATGATATAGACATCCCAATCCAGTTTGGGATACCAATTTAATCAAAGAATTCCACGGTCTTGAGAATAAACCTTGAACGACAAAAAAGAGGGTTTAAAATTTTACATAAGGATACTATCCAAGTAGTCTAAATAATCGAATTTCTGGTGATATCTCTTCAGGAAGAAATTCTACAATTTATTCATGGATTAAGTCAACTTATTAACAAAGATTGGGGTTTTGGGGTTTTGGGGTTTTGGGGTTTTGGGGTTTTGGGG